CTATAATGGCACCATTCCTATAGAGGTAATAAATCTGCCTAAGAGAGCTTCTTCCTTGTATGGGTTCAGGAAAGCTCGGGATGATCCGCACAGCCCCACATGAACCACACAGCCTCACATGATCCACACAGTCCCCACATGATCCACACAGCCCAGACATGATCCATACAGCCCTCACATGATCCATACAGCCCTCACATGAACCACACGGTCCTCATTTGATCCACAAAGCCGTCACATGATCCACACAGTCCTCACATGATCCACACAGTCCTCACATGATCCACACAGTCCCCACATGATCCACACAGTCCCCACATGATCCACACAGTCCCCACACATGATCCACACAGCCCAGACATGATCCACACAGTCCCTCACATGATCCACACAGTCCCCACATGATCCACACAGTCCCCACATGATCCCCCACACAGCCCAGACATGATCCATACAGCCCGCACATGACCACACAGTCCCCACATGATCCACACAGCCCTCACATGATCCACACAGCCCTCACATGAACCACACGGTCCCCACATGATCCATACAGCCCTCACATGATCCATACAGCCCCACATGAACCACACGGTCCTCATTTGATCCACACAGTCTTCACATGATCCACACAGTCTCACATGATCCACAGTCCTCACATGATCCACAAAGCCCTCACATGATCCATACAGCCCTCACATGATTCACACACTCTACACATGATACACTCAGCCCTCACATGATCCACAAAAGCCCTCACATGATCCACAGCCCACACATGATCCACACAGTCCTCACATGATCCACAAAGCCCCACATGATCCACACAGTCCTCACATGATCCACACAGCCCCACATGATCCACACAGCCCCTCACATGAACCACACGGTCCCCACATGATCCATACAGCCCTCACATGATCCATACAGCCCCACATGAACCACACGGTCCACTATCCACAGTCTTCACATGATCCACACAGTCCTCACATGATCCACAGCCTCACATGATCCATACAGCCCTCACATGAATCACACACACTTACATGATACATCAGCCTCACATGATCCACAAAGCCCTCACATGATCCATACAGCCCACACATGATCCACACAGCCATCCACATGATACACACAGCCCTCACATGATCCACAAAAGCCCTCACATGATTCATACAGCCCACACATGATCCACACAGCCATCACATGATTCACACAGCCCTCACATGATCCACAAAGCCCTCACATGATCCATACAGCCCTCACATGATCCATACAGCCCACACATGATCCACACAGCCATCACATGATCCACACAGCCCTCGCATGATCCACAAAAGCCCTCACATGATTCATACAGCCCTCACATGATCCCATACAGCCCACACATGATCCACACAGCCATCACATGATTCACACAGCCCCCATGATCACATAGCCCACACATGACCACATACCTCATATGATCCAACCAGCCCACACATGATCCACACAGCCATCACATGATCCACATAGCCCACACATGACCACACACTCTCACATGATCCACACAGCCCACACATGATCCACACAGCCCCCACATGATCCACTTAGATCACACATGATTCATACAGCCCTCACATGATCCACATAGCCCACACATGACCCACACAGTCCCTACATAATCCACATAGCCCACACATAATCCACATAGCCCACACATGACCCACACAGCCCTCACATAATCCACATAGCCCACACATGACCACACAGCCCCTCATATGATCCACACAACCCACACATGATCCAAACAGCCCTCACATGATCCACGCAGCCCTCACATGATCCACATAGCCCACACATGATCCACACAGCCCTCACATGATCCATACAGCCCACACATGATCCACACAGCCCCTCACATGATCCACGCAGCCCTCACATGATCCACACAGCCCCACATGACCTCACACAGCCCCACATGATCTACACACCCCTCACATGATCCACACAGCCCTCACATGATCCACATAGCAAACACATTATTCACACAGCCCTCACATAATCCACACAACCCATACATGATCCACAAAGCCCACGATGATCCACACAGCCATCACATGATCCATAGCCCACACATGACTCACACACCCTCACATGATCCACACAGCCCACACATGATCCACACAGCCCTCACATGATCCAATTTAGATCACACATGATCCATACAGCCCTCACATGATCCACATAGCCCCACATGACTCACAGAGTCCCTCACATAATCCACATAGCCCACACATGACCACATAGCCCACGCATGATCCACACAGCCCTCACATGATCGACGCAGCCCTCACATGATCCACAGCCCTCACATGATCCACAGCCCACACATGATCCACACAACCCACACATGACACACAGCCTCACATGATCCACACAGCTCACATGATCGACGCAGCCCTCACATGATCCACAGCCCTCACATGATCCATACAGCCCACACATGATCCACACAACCCACACATATCCACACAGCCCCACATGATCCATACAGCCCACACATGATCACACACAGCCTCACATGATCCACACAGCCCTCACATGATCGACGCAGCCCTCACATGATCCACACAGCCCTCACATGATCCACACAACCCATACATGATCCACAAAGCCCACGCATGATCCACACAGCCCTCACATGATCCATAGCCCAGACATGACTCACAGCCCTCACATGATCCACACAGCCCCACATGATCCACACAACTCACAGCTCATCCACACATCCCTCACATGATCCACACAGCTCACAGCAGATCCACATCCCCACATGATCCACACAGCCCCCACATGATCCACACAACTCACAGCCCATCCACACAGCCCCTCACATCATCCACACATCCCTCACATGATCCACACAGCCCACACATGATCCCACACGGCCACATGACAGCACAGCTCACAGCAGATCCACACATCCCTCATGATCCACACAGCCCCCTACATGATCCACACACAACTCAGCTCATCCACACAGCCCCCACATGATCCACACAGCCCGCACATGATCCACACAGCCCCTCACATGGTCTACACAGCCTCACATGATCTACACAGCCCTCACATCCACATAGCTCACACACATTCACACAGCCCTCATATAATCCACACAGCCCTCACATGATCCACACAGCCCTCACATGATCCACACAGCCTCACATGATCCACACAGCCCTCACATGATCCACATAGCTCACATTATTCACACAGCCCTCACATGATCTACACAGCCCCTCACATGATCTACACAGCCCTCACATGATCCTCACAGCCCTCACATGATCCACACAGCCCTCACATGATCCACATAGCTCACACATTCACACAGCCTCATATGATCCACACAACCCATCTCGTGATCCATGAGCCTCACATGATCCACACAGCCCCTCACATGATCCACATAGCTCACACACATTCACACAGCCCCTCATATGATCCACACAACCCATACGTGATCCATGGAGCCCCACATGATCCACAGCGCCTTCACATGATCCGCATAGCCCACACATGATTCACACAGCCCTCACATGATCCACACAGCCCTCACATGATCCACACAGCCCTCAGATCCACACGGCCAACACATGATCCACACAGCCTTCACATGATCCGCATAGCCCACACATGATTCACACAGCCTCACATGATCCACAAAGCCCACCCATGATCCACACACACCTCACATGATTCACATAGCCCACACACGACTCATACAGCCCCTCACATGATCCACACAGCCCACATGATCCACACAGCTCATCCACACATCCCTCACGTGATCCACACAGCCCTCACATGATCCACACAGCCATCACATGATTCACACAGCTCTCACATGATCCACACACCCACACATGATCCACACAGCCCACACACATGATCCACACAACCCACACATGATCCACATAGCCCACACATGACTCACACAGCCGTCACATGATCCACACAGCTCACATGATCCACACAGCTCACAGCTGATCCACACATCACCACATGATCCACACAGCCCTCACATGATCCACACAGCCCACACATGATCCCACACAACCCACACATGATCCACACAGCTCACACCTGATCTACACAGCCCTCACATCCACACTGCCCCACATGATCCACACAGCCCCATGATCCACACAGCCCATACATGATCCACATAGCTCACAGCTGATCCACACAGCCCCACATAGTCCACACAACCCTCAATGATCCAACACAGCCTCACGTGATCCACACAGCCCTCACATGATCCACACAGCCCACACATGATCCACACACCCACAGCTGATCCACACAGCCCACATATGATCCACATCCCACACATGATCCACACAGCCCACACATGATCCACACATCCCACACATGATCCACACAGCCCACACATGATCCACACAGCCCTCACATGATCCACACAGCCCATACATGATCCACATAGGCTCACAGTGATCCACACAGCCTCACATGGTCCACACAGCCTCACAGACCCACACAGCCTCACATGATCCACACAGCCCTCACATGATCCACACAGCCCATACATGATCCACACAACTCACTGCTGATCCACACAGCCCACATGATCCACACATCCCACACATGATCCACACAGCCCTCAACATGATCCACACAGCCCACATGATCCACACATCCCACACATGATCCACACAGCCCCTCTTATCATCCACACAGCCCACAGTTGATCCACACAGCCCACACGTGATCCACACAGCCCATACATGATGCACACAGCTCACACCTGATCCACACAGCCCTCACATGATCCACACAGCCCTCACATGATCCACACAGCCCACACCTGATCCACACAGCCCACACATGATCTACACAGCCCACAGCTGATCCACACAGCCCACACATGATCCACGCCCACGCGATCCACACAGCCCACACATGAAACACACAGCCCAGCTGATCCACACAGCCCA